AGAACTTTCTACAGCACTTTTTGACATTTTTCCATGCGACCTTTCTGCGATCAACTGAAAAAAGTACACAAAGTAGGAAAAGAATTTTGCATTTGACAGTGTGAGTGAGTTTTTGGATTTTGAGGATCTAGACATCATTTGAAAGTTCTATTTGAAATATGGAAATTATTTATTCTTCAAACATATTTCAAGTTCTACTGATCGCCTGAATCCACTGAAAACCTTCTTTCATTGATCTGAAGGAAGGAAGTCAGACGGAAAATAGAAACAACAAATTTAAGTAGCTTTGTCGATTAAAAATTCAACCGATTCTATGTCTGATATATGCAATATAGTGTTTGCAGTTCTTTTTTGCTAACGTTAAAAAGTAGTCTAATGGTTTTACTATGTCTTATAATATAAGTTAGTGTGATGAATAATATCGATTCATTTTTAAAAGTAATTGAAAGATGTTGAACTATCCTTTACTTCGATTTGTCATAGGAAAATTTACCGACACATTGAAGATCATGTTATTCAACATTTCATATTACGAATCTAAGGAGATATTTTAGTCTAAAAGTTATTCTTGTTTTTTAAATTTGCTATCGTAACAATTCAATTCCATTTCTAGGAAATAATTCTCGGTGATGAAGCTCGTGCTCGTGTTCCTTCTGAATTTATTATTCAATATACCAATAATGCAAATCCTCCAACATTCTTTTTAACAATTGATTATTTATTAAAAACAAATCAAGCTAATCATCTTTTTACATTACCATTTATTCAACGTTTAGAAAAATGGTATCAATGGTATAATCGTACACAATCTGGTCCAATACCATTTACATTTCGTTGGCGTGGTCGAAATGCTTCATCAATATATGAACTTAATCCAAAAACTTTAACAAGTGGTTTAGATGATTATCCACGTGCATCACATCCAACTGATTCTGAACGTCATTTAGATTTACGTTGTTGGATAACATTAGCTTCAAATGTTATTGGTAAACTTTATTCAATATTAAATAATGAAAAAACAAATAAATATTTAAATTATGCACAATTACTTTCAAATAATGATTTACTTGATCAATTACATTGGTCTGAACAATATGAAATGTATGCTGATTATGGTTTACATACAGATTATGTTCAATTAGAACGTGTATTAATACAAAAACAATCACCAACACAACAATATCAACAATATCAACAAACACATGTGATTAGACAGGTTATTCAGCAATCAGATGTTAATTATAAATATGTAAAACATTTTGGTTATGTTTCTCTTTTTCCATTAATGACACGTATTTTAAATCCACAATCAAATAAACTTGAAAAAATTTTAAATGATTTACAAAATTCAACTTTATTATGGACACCATATGGTCTTCGATCATTAGCACGATCAAGTTCTTTATATGGAATGAAAAATACTGAACATGATCCACCTTATTGGAGAGGTATAAATATCAATTTCTTTTTTTCTCTATGATAATAAAATTTTTTGAAAACTAATCATTTAGGTGCTATATGGATAAATATGAATTATATGGTTCTATCAGCATTACAACATTATGCAAAAATTTCTGGTCCATATTCTGATAAAGCTCAACATATTTATAAACAATTACGTACAAATCTTTTAAAGAATATGTTACATATTTATAATAAAACAGGTCATATTTGGGAACAATATGATGATAAAACTGGAAATGGAAAAGGTAGTCATCCATTTACAGGATGGTCATCATTAATTGTTTTGATTATGTCGGAATTATATGATGAATAAATAAATAAATTTTTGTTTTAACCTAAAGTAATAGAAGCAAAAGTTTAGAAACAAAGTATTTTTGACTTTTTCCCTTAACAGTAACATCTAGAATAAATCGGAGAAACTACTTGGTTAACTACAACAATTTTTCATGAGAAGGGCTATTTGTCGAATTCCTATTAATAAGTTTGGGTAGACAGTCTCTGTAAAACCAAGATGCCGAACATGAGTTTTCTGGGTTCTATTAGATGAACTTGCTTGCAAAACGTTTTTGATAGAATCCAGAAAATGGGTTTTTGTAATATTGGTTTTACAGAGATCTTTTATTCAAAAACCTTGTGAATAGAAATTTAACAAGTATCTCTTCTAATAGGAAATTGTTTTAGATAATCAAATCTTTTCTTTTGATTTGTTCTATATGTTACCATTAAGACAAAAAAAAAAAAAACTTCATTTCTAAACTTTTTGCCTTCACTTTAATTTTATTCTTTGATATAAGAAATAAGTTAGAAAAGGAAAATATGTGTATGTTATGATGTGATACTCATTTCAATTGTTAGGCTCTTTTTCTTTTTTGACATTGTTATTGTTAATGTTATTTGTATGCAAAAATATAAAAGGAATTTTCATTTTTAACATGATAATATGATCTTGCTTTTTTGCCAATTTTTAGATGAATTGTACTCTTTTGTTTTAGTGAATTCAGCATGAATATTTTAGTTATATTTTGATGTCATTGTATTAGGGCACAAAAATTTGATAAAACTAATAAACTGCATAGTTATTAAATTATATATTTCGATAATTCTTTTCACATGTATTTTTCTTTTTTTCTTTTTGAATAACTCATCTGAAGAATATGTTGAAAATTATTTGTTCATTCCTTATTGCATTTTAAAACTACATTTCAATAAATTATTTATCAACAAACAAAATAAATTTGAAGATATTAATAACTAATTATTTAGATTAATGAAGTTATGAATCAATCATAACGATATGTGTTCATGTATGATATATAGGTTTTTTTTTATTTCAGATTAAGCTGTTGTATTTTATTGAAATTATCAATCTGTGATTTTACAATGCATTCCTGTTGATAATTGTTTTATACTTTATCACAAAGTACGTTCATATCAGTTCTGTGAATAGAATATACAAAATTATTCATTTGAATCACTTAGTTGTGTTTCCACAACACATCCTGCTTTGCTAATCTAATCTTGTAGCGCAAATTATTCTTTTTCCTTAATTTCTCTATGTGCATAGACTATACACAATAGACAATTAAATATTTTTTCTAAAGAAAATAAAAGTCATAGTAGTTATCACAATTATTCAACAAGACTTATTTTCAATTTTTTTCTACTATTTTATTCACTAAAAAGAATCCAAATAATGATTTGAATAGAGAAAGATATATTCAACAAGAATATTACAAAATAAAGATGAATAACAGATTCTCATAGATAAGGTTTCTAGAAAATCAAACTCCATGTTTTTCAGCGTCAACAACATGCAAATAGAATTTTGTTCATACTACATGAAACGGTAGAGCAAACAATTTCCTACAAAATAAGACGTCTTCGAGTTCTGTACGATCTTTTATTTTTTCAGAGACAGCAACCTTACAAAAGCCTTTCAAGTAGAGCCTGCCAAATTCGAACCGTTCTCCTAATCTCAACGAAATTTTTAGTTCGAGTTTGCGAGTTGCTCTGAAGATGCAAGAGACAATATTCTTATAATAATCAAGTCATAATTAGCTATCACTCTTAGAGTATGACATGTTCGGTCGATCTCTAACACAAATCATGTCCATTAAATATTTTCAGATCTAACTTCGGGTTCAGGACCAAACCGATGAGCACATCTTCAAACCTTTTTCCTACTGTTTTCTATGAAAAATTCAATTTGGGATTTTCAATCAGATTAGGTTCTTCATGCTGAAAAACTGAGGATTTAGTTTTATGAAAAACTCGTCTTAGAGAATCTGGTAATCATTTTTAGTTGAATAATTTTGTTGGCCATTGTATATAAATATATCTAAACTGATTTGTTTTTTATTTAATAAAATAGTTTCGTGAAATGATTACTGCAGCACGTATATTTTTATTAGCCACTTTTACTGGCATTTTATTATTATTTCTTTCACTATTTCTTTATGCCAATGGTTATTTTAAAACTGAACAATTATTTCAAGTTAAAATAACATTATCTAATGGAACAAAAGTCTTAACTAATAATAAAGATGATCATTTGCATGGTAAAATCAATGAAAAAAATCAAAATAGTGCAAATCTTGGTTTTATTCATGCATTTATTGCGTCAATATCCGTTATTGTTGTTTCAGAATTAGGTGATAAAACATTTTTTATTGCTGCTATTTTAGCAATGCGTCATTCACGTTTAATTATATATATTGGTGCAATGAGTGCTCTTGGTGCCATGACAGTTCTATCAGCATTATTAGGAAATATTGTTACAAATTTTATTCCACGTATTTATACATATTATTTATCAAGTATATTATTTGCTGGTTTTGGTATTAAAATGTTAAAAGATGGATATTTTATGTCACCTGATGAAGGTACAGAAGAATATGAAGAAGTTCAACAAGAAGTAGAAAAAGCTGAAGCTACGAATGATCTCGAATCAGGTGATGGCGATGGTGGTGGAAAAATAGATAATTCCTCAAAAGGAAATCAACAACATCAAAAATTAACATCAAAAAGTACTATGACAAATATCACGTCGCTTATTCGTCGTTATATATCTCCGATATTTATTCAATCATTTATTATGACTTTTCTTGCTGTATGTATAGAAAGAATAAATATTAATATTTAAATTCTTTTACTTGTTAGGAATGGGGAGACCGATCTCAAATAACTACAATTGTATTAGCTGCTAGTGAAAATCTTTTAGGTGTCATTATCGGTGGTACAATTGGCCATGGTTTATGTACTGGATTAGCAGTTATTGGTGGTCGTTTTATAGCACAACGAATATCACCAAAAACAGTTACATTGATTGGTGGTGTTGTATTTTTATGTTTTGCTTTGTCAGCATTTTTTATCCGTCTGGATAAATAATCGATCAAATATTCGGATTATTGAATATATTGAATTTATTATTATACAAAAAAAAAGAACAGTTTACTGCAATCAGTCAGCTTAATCAAGTATTCAATTTCTATGATATTTTTCAAGTTGTATGAATTTCTGCTTCTTTTTTCACACTTTATTTAATGTCACTAATTTGTAGTAATCATATATAGCTTCTTATTGTATGAACAAACATTGAAATCTACAAAAAAATCCTGCGTTCTGTGATGCGTTGTATGAAAAAAAATTTTTTTTTTTCAAATAATAAATGTTTGTTCCTCATTGTGATTATTATGGGTTTATAGACTATTTTTATTTGTATCATAGGAAATTCAAAAAAAAGGTGGATGTGGGTCTTATTTTCAACCATACTAGTACACCTACGTTCTGGAGAAACATCCGAAAATACTCGCTCGAAGCCATCAACCAAAATCAAACTTAGCAGAAAAAAGACGCAAACAAATTGCTTTTATTCACTTTCAAAGTACATTTTACAGATTTAACTAGTCCTCGATCAGCCGATATGTACCAATAAAAAAAGATTAAAAGCTAAGAAGTGGATTGACAAATAGCGATACTATTTATTATTTTGACAGAAAATATAGAATTCAATTGACCTGCCTTGACTGCTGGCAATGAGAACACCAGCATGTATGACTAATGCTTGCGAGATATCGGTCCAAATAATTGCCTTCATTCCACCATACACATACCGACACTTATTAGATTCTCTTGTCTCGAATACGACCAAATGTATGTACATACCATTGAAGAATATAAAGTACAAACGACACCAATAGAGACTGCTGAAAGCCATTTGTTCAATCCCATAGCTATAATTCAGTTTCGAAAATAGGTATCATATACTTTCATTTGTATACTGTAACTAAATGCCAATGATGGCTCATACAGTACCAAAACAGTAGCAGGTTCCGTTGTTTATAATCATCATCGATAGTCACTTTTTCATTGGATATCCTCTTCATGAGTCAAATAACTTCTAACTATCACACTCCTGTCAATAAACATTTCTCATAAATATCAGTATCAGTAAACTCGTCAAAAGGAGTGCCACGTTGAAATAACATCTTCTGAAATTTAGAAAAAAAATATTTAAAAAGATCAGATCAGGTGGTCAGTCGTTTTTAGTCGGCTCTAAACTCGGATTGAAAAGTGGGGGCCAGATCGGATCGCAGAACTGTCGGATCTGCTTCATCCATTGGCATAGTATAGTTTTTATGGAAAAGGTCAGTCTCATTTGATGCAAAAGCTCAAACTAACCGACTTTCTTTGTTCACATGAATTCAAAGTCAGGAGGAAGAGATGTTTATTTCGAATGATGATGACATTGTACAAGCTATTTTCAATTTTTATATGAGTTATATCCTCGATAGTAAGAGATATATACAACTTATTTTACAATACATCAAATTAAAGATAGTTCGTTCATACACTTAATGAATGTTCATTATCTTAACAGTATACGCATGCGCGTCACCACAGTGTTTGCTGTCATCGCTACATTAAGCTTTAGATCCACTAATCGTCGATATACGTTATTCATTATTTTGAGTAATTCCATTCGAAAGATGCGCGCCGAAAGAGTGTACATAAAAAAGCCGAATGCATGAGAACCATAAGCTAAGATACGTACAATTGCTGCACTTAAACTGTCTTCTGCGATTTTTAGGGAGGATTTTTTCGAATTGAGCGTAAATGTGTCATACAATTTTTGACCAGCAAATGGAACTGTGCAGACGATGATCAAAGCCACTTGCATGAGAAGCATTGCCAACAATTGACTATCGCGTCGTACAACGTTCTTTGTCGGTTGCACAATATTTGGTATTACTTGATGGCGAATTCGTCGGAGATTGCGAAGAGTTGCTACGCCAAAAACCAACATAATTAGAG